GTCCACACTTCACTGATTCACTGAAAAATCACAGCAAAACAAAACAGTCAGGCAGCCATGATAATCTCCCACTAATTCTCTGCTGCATCCTCTTCAATTCGCTGCTTCCCACCCAATCCACCCTCCAAAATCACCACAGCCCACCTACCCCATCCAGTAGCATCATCTTCACCACTCTCGGTGGATCCAGCTACGCTTTCGACCTCTTCACTCTCTCCACACGCAACCGCACCCCGCCGTCCCCATCCTCCGAGCTCTGCCTCACCGATGGCGCCTCCGTCAACTTCAACGGCAACTTCGTTTCCCCATATCCCGCTCTCCTCTCTCTTTGCACCCAACCATCTCTCCTACAATAACCTCCTACCCCCTGCTTCTTCTCGATTGAAGCTCGACGCCTATCTGGGAAACGGGAAACGGAATCGATTGACTGGCGAATCTCCTCGATTCATCGCCAACTCTGTGAGAACCTTCCCCTTCCTCCCTTTGCTTCGTCATGGTCACGGCCAGAGATTCTTCGCCTCTGTAGATGGCGGTTTCCTTTCCTTCCATCTCTACCCATCTGAAACTTCTCATTCGACGCTCTCTCGTCGCCAGCGGTAGCTGCTGTCACCGACGATGCGGCTCGCCTTTCTTTCCACTCATCTCCTCGAGACCAAATCTGAAACCCTCTGGCCTTCGCTGTCGCCGTCCTCATCATCGCCAACGTCAAACACGTTCGTCACCGTATATGTTCTACAATAACTATATTCATTATCTTGGCTTTAGCGTGAGAAACATGGGTACTTTCAACTGTTTTACAAAGAGCTAGCCAACCAAAAAACCACAATATGCTAGATATTGCTGCAACAAACAAGAATATAGGACAACAAGCAAGTTGAATCCCAAGAATAAAGGATCAATCGATGTCAAGTCTTACCAACGTATTGTACCAAAAACTAGAGCCGACTGTCCAGCTCTAATCAAATTTAGATATTATATTAACAAAAATAAATGGTTGCTGCACAAGTGGATAACACAGCATAATCATGATCCCCTATCTTCAAAATTTAGGCACTTAATTGAATCATATCTATTTCGTTTCAACTTTAAATTGGGATATTTATTCCCAATTATGCTCCAAATAATCAAATTTTATGTCATCTAATGATATCTACTTTTGTATATGTTGAAAAATAAAATTTCAAAATCATGGTCACAGTCATATGGTCAGTAGTCACCCTCCTATTCAACAGTTACCAAACTATATTGATTTGATCCAATTCTATACCACCACTCAGGAACGACTCATCACTATAAAAAATTCGTTTGACATGTTTCTTATTTTCCTGAGTTACTAAACTATACCAATGTTTAATTTATTACTATTAATCTATTATAATACACAAAAAATTATTAAAAATAATATCGGAGACACAAATTAATTTATCTTTGAAAAAAGTCGCTTTCTCACAAACTATCCGACGTCAAAGCTAGTAACAATATAAACCGATTTACCAATCAAAATATATATATAAACTAATTTTATAAGATTTCTGCATACCCTATAAGGGATGAGATAAGGTCACAATTCCTTTTGGAGGTTGTGAAATTGACCACCCACTTCTTAGCCATTGGATATGCTCTCTCCTGTCTCTTTTTTTTTTCCAAATTGATGGTTAGGATTAAAAGAAGGGTATTTTTGTAATGAAAAAAATATTACCACTGAGGATCCTTTCTCATTTTCTATATAATCTATTTTTATTAGAAAAAAATAACTCTCCCCCTCACACACGTCCTCTCTCTCCTCCCTCTCTCTTACCTCTCCTCAGAACCCTAACCGCCTCCTCCCCCTTCGTCTCTCCATGTCGTCGTCACCTCCATCTCTCCCTCCTGCATCAGTCGTTGCGCCCTCCGACTCCCACCACCGCCGCAGTCGTCGCGCCCTCCGCCTCCCACCACTGTCGCGCCATCATGCTCTCCCCGTCGCAGCCTTGTCGCCGCCCTCATCCAGTACCGTCGCCGCAGAGGTAACGACATCTTCCCTTCCTTCTCCTTTTCTCATCTCTTAATTTATTTTTTACCGGATCTGGGATTTTTCAGATTCCAAATCTGTTTTTTTTTTATGTTAGTCTCTAGTGATGGTACTAATTTTTGTCTAGTGTTACGCTACCAGTGGTAGTGGTAGCATACCACGAATCACTGGTAGCGGTACCAGTGGTAGTGGTAGCGTATCACTACTCATTGATAGCGGTACCACGCTACTACTATCACTGGTACCACTAGACGAAAATCAGTATCACAAGAGCACTAACAGAGTTTTTTTTTTTTTTTGCAGATCGCCGGAGCGAGTCTGATTTGGAGGATTTCACCGGGAAAAAGTCTGCCGGTCGAAGAAAGTTTGGCGATCTAAGCAAAGAGACTGCTGGAAAGGAAGAGAGAAATCGCTAGAGATATAATTGTATTAATTGTAGGATTTAATTTTTTTAAAAAACATGTGCTTAATATGGGTTCTTAATTCCCATTGTGTAATTAATAAAAAAATAATTAATAAATTCTGGTTTTTTTCATATCTAAATTACGCTTCCTCGTGAAATGTTGGAGTCCACCATTGTTCTAATTCTGAAGACTGATCACCCGGAGACTCTAGTGCAGCTAAGGCCAATTTGTCTAAACAATGTGGGGTTGAAAGCCATCACCAAAGCTATCGCCTATCGCCAATCGGATGAAGCCTTTGATGCATAAAATAATTGCTCCGACTCAAAGTGGCTTTATTCCGGGAAGACAGACAAACAACAACATCATCATTCTCCAAGAAGTCCTTCACTCGCTACGAACAAAGAAAGGAAAGAAAGGAGGAATGGTGATCAAGATAGATCTTGAGAAGGCTTATGATAGGCTCAGTTGGGATTTTATTCGAGATACTCTGGTGGAAATAGGGTTGCCCAATACTTGGACGAGCAGGATCATGTTCTGCGTAGAGAATAATCGGATGAAGATTAGCTGGAATGGAAAGCTAACAGAGACTATCTCACCTACCAGAGGATTGAGACAGGGTGATCCCCTTTCTCCGTATCTCTTTGTCCTCTGTATGGAACGGCTTGCTCACCGAATAGAGCAAGCTGTCTCTGATAAGAAATGGAAACCAATGTCTTTATCTATTAATGGTCTGAAGTTGTCGCATATTTTCTTTGATGACCACTTAGTTTTGTTTGCAGAGGCAGAGACTAGCCAAATCAATGTCATTCGACAATGTCTTGACGACTTTTGCACTAGCTCTGGTCAACGAGTTAATCACGCCAAGTCGGCTATGCTGGTGTCGTCCAATGTTCTGCAGAGCAAAGCCCAACAGTTGAGTGCTCATGCTGGTATTTCTTTGACAGCAAACTTGGGCAAATATCTTGGAATATAGACCATTAATGGGAGAGTCTCTAAGGCTCGTTACAAGGGTTTAATTCTAAAAATCCAAAAGAAGTTGGCTCTCTGGAAAACAAATCACCTCTCCCTGGCAGCATGCATGACTTTAGCGAGATCTATTTCAACATCTATGACTGTATACCCCATGTTTTCGGAATTGCTACCTGCTTCTGTTTGTAAATCGCTATATCAGAATAATAGACGCTTCATATGGGGGGGGGGAAGGGAAGGCGAAGTTTCATAACATAGCTTGGGACCAAATGATCCTTCCGCGAAGCCAGGGGGTGCAAGCATCAGGCCTACAAGATTAGCTAACCAAGCTCTACTCGCCAAAGGAGGGTGGAAACTAATCAATGATGACCAAGCTCTCTGGACTAGGTTGCTGAAAGCTAAGTACGGACAGGCACGCCAAGGGATAGATTGCCTTCGCAAAACACAGGGAAGTTCGATGGCTTGAAGAAGTTTTTCTAGCGTTGTGAATGTCATTTTGGCTTGATGTTTAGGCTTTGCAGGTTCCTCTAATCAATATTGCAACCCCCGAAGGTCAACAAAACAGAACGGTAGCTGAGTTTTGGGACCCAGAGCAAAGCGGGAAACTTGAAGAGTTTGAAGACTTCCTCCCTCAGCAGGTCACAAATAAGATTAGGGGCATTCTGGTGGATCTACTCTCCACCGAGGCAGATCAGATTTTTTGGAATCTCACCTCCAATCAGGGGTGGAGCTAGAATTTGCAAGTTAGGGGGGAGGGGGCGACTTTTTTTTGCGTATTATCATCCGATGTTAAGAAAAGATAATTCATTATATAGAAGGATAAAATTAGCTATTTGTCATAATCGTCGAAAAATACGTTTGAGATAATTAAAAAACCTAAAGATATAATCCAAACTAAAATTTCTAGTACAATATGTTCAAGATAAATAATTGAATTACCAAAAAAAAGTAATTTTTTCAATTGTGCCATGCATGTACTCTTATTGCAACTTAAAAATGATATATGAGAATACTAGATTTTTTCTTTTTTGCGTATTATCATCCTATGTTACGAAAAGATAATTCATTATATAGAAGGATAAAATTAGCTATTTGTCATAATCATCGAAAAATACGTTTGAGATAATTAAAAAACCTAAAGATATAATCCAAACTAAAATTTCTAGTACAATATGTTCAAGATAAATAATTGAATTACCAAAAAAAGTAATTTTTCAATTGTGCCATGCATGTACTATTATTGCAACTTAAAAATGATATATGAGAATACTAGAATTTCGAGAAAAAAATAATCTGCATAAGTTCAGAATTATTCTTAAAATGTGAATTATAAACTCAAGATAAAACTTAAATGGAAATCGCTTTCATAGGGAATTGAACTAAAATATCTTCAAAAAGAAGGAATTGAACTAAAAAGTTGGAAACAAAATATAAACTACAGGCACAGGGAATCAAACCCTGATCCAGGTGACTCAATGGAAGCATTTCCTCCGCTAGGGTAGAAGTAATTTCATTATTACTTGTTGACGCTTTATATATTAATATAACAAACGTAACTTATACGTAAGTTCCAAAATTCTCAACGTATATATAAGCGATCTTCAAAATTCATGCCCCCCCCACCCCACCCCACCCTCCGAGCTCCAACGTAGCTCCGACCCTACCTCCAATGGTCAGTTTTCAACAAGTTCAGCTTATAAGGCTATCTCACCAGTGGACACGACAAAACCAGCAAGTTTTTTGGCAGAAGATCTTGCACCTCAACGTCCCGGAAAGAGTTAGAGTCTTTGTTTGGCTTGCAGTCAAAGGAAAACTCTCGACTAATAGTGTGAGGAAGTTTAGGCACCTCACATATGATGATAAATGTCCTGAATGCAAAGAGGTTCCAGAAACCAATTTTCATTGTCTCAGAGACTGCGTCGTCGCCAAGGCTGTTTGGTCGAAGATCATACCCAGCAACCGCCAACAACAATTTTTCGGAGTTGAAGTTGATGAATGGTTTCAGAAGAATTTAATGGACAACTCCCAAGGTGGATGGCCAGGTGATTGGGCAAGTTACTTCTGCCTCCTAACTTGGTACATCTGGAAATGCAGGAATGACACTGTTTTTAAAGGAATTCGGATGTCTCCGTCAACCTTGCACAACTATGTTACCTCGAAAGCTTCAGAGTGGATCAAAGCATGGGAGTCAGGCAAAGTGGGAAACAGATCTATTAACAAGCTGCCCAGAAGTGAGATTTTAATTAGCTGGAGTGCCCTGCCAGGCGGTTATGTGAAACTAAATTCAGATGGAGCAGCCCAGATCACTTCAGGAGTTGCGAATGCAAGAGGTGTCCTACGCAACAGTTATGGGGATTGACTTGGAGGATTCTGCAGTAAGCTTGGGACAGGATCAGCAGTCATGGCCGAGTTGTGGGGAATTTATCATAGCTTGCAATTCGCCTAGAAGAAAGGGTTTCAGTATCTCATCCTGGAAACTTATTAGAAGCTTGCGCTGGATCTTATTGAGAAATGTACTGGCCATGCTCACCCGTATGCTACTTTACTTGGAGCCATCCGCAGATTTTTGACTCAAGGATGGGTGGTTCGTCTTATTCATACGTACGGGGAAGGGAATAGAGTCGCGAACTGGCTCTCGAAGCACACTCTCGTCTATCCCTTTGGTATGCATGAATTAGAAGACCCCCCACTGGATTTGAATCAACTCCTTCATGAAGATATTGTAGGATTTAGTTTTCCTAGGAAAGTTCTTTGAGATGATCTGAGTGTTGTTTAAGTTGTTGGGGTGGCCCTTCCCTTGGAAGTTTTGTTTTTTGTTTGCTCCCCGGTGTAACCAACCCAATCCTATCTAACCACATCCGGTGTAACCACATCTGGTCTAACCACCAAATCTGGTGTAACCACCAGCAAAATACCAACGAATATCCTATCATTATCTCCTAAGCCTTGGTCTAGCAACAGTGCCTCTGTAACTATGCTTTTGCCTCCTCATAAATAAATAAATAAAATTACCCTTTGGATGTGAAACTCACATCCCTTAGGGGTCCTATCCCTGCATATAAGATATAACTATATGGGATACCTCTAGGGGTGGAAATCAGTACGGTATCGGGATCCCAATACCAAATACCGAAATCCCGAATATCGAATTACACCATAAAATCAATCCCAATCCCTAAATAATTTCGGTATCCCAATCTGTACTTCGGTATCCCAATCGGTATTATCGAATACATAATTAATTACCTTTTCAGTTAATAATTAAATATATAAATTAGATTTTATTGTTTAATTTAGGGCAAAGCAAATAGTCTTGAGTTGCCTAGAGCTAACATCTCAAGTTCTTGTAATTGGCAATCTTTAATTTGACGAATTTGAGGTTGAGAGACGACTAATACTAGTGTGAAATAGTGATGTAATGATCTTTGTATAATTAAATGACACTTTTGGTGGTTGAGGGTCGCGTAGTAGTGAATGAGAGAGTCTAGTTGAGAGGATAAAATACACGCTAGATTATATTTCGGTATTGATCGGTATTTCGGTATATACCGATCCCAATCCCGTAATCCCTAATACCGAATATAATTGAAATTCAATCTCAATCTCAATCCCACGAAATAATACGTGTATTCGGTAATACCAAATATAGACAAATTCGATACAGTATTTGGTATATCCCAAATACCGATACCAAACTTCCGGCCTGACTCTGTTTCATAATCATCAGATCCGATTACGTATATCAACAAATGAAATTAATTTCATAAGCCAAATACTATACCGAATTTCCAGCCGACTCTGTTTCATAATCATCCGATCCGATTACGTATATCAACAAATGAAATTAATTTCATAAGGTCGTTTCAACCATTCACCCAGTCAATGAACTGATGATGAAAACTCCACCAGCCACGTAAGAAAGTCAAGGATTTACAGCATCAGTTCCCATCCCCCGTCATCATCTCCATTCTACAACACTGCAATTTACACTTGTATGAAACAAGACAACCTTTCATAACCCAAAGCAAATAAGACTCGACTTGAACCCACAAGAAGAAGAAAAAACCATGAAAGAGCTCTAATTTTGCTACTTTCAACTAACTACTCCGTTCTTCTACCTTCATCACACCATTGTCAGCTTATACCTGCTGCACCCTCGCCTACTCTTCCCAATTTCTCCAGCTTTTTCACTGCATCCGTTACCACCAACAGTCTTAGGCACATCTTGTTGTTGCTGCTGCTTGGTCATTCTTTTGTTTTCGTGGTACTCTTTAACCCCTGTGTAGCCTGCTGCTGCTTTTCACCTTCTTTAGAAGAACAGGATCCCTTATTCCTACTTTCATCTTCTTTTCGGCTCTCTTCCCGCCTGTTCTCCGAGGGTTCTACCTTGCCATTCCCAACATTATCCTTTTTCGGAACAAGAGCACCAGGGTGCCCAACAACTAGCTTCTGAACATTCTGTTTCGGTTCTTTGTTTTCGGACACTGTTTTATCGTTACGAGTCACTTGCTCACCGTGGAGTTTGCCACCTTCTTGCTGCACTTTAGCTTTCCCGGAAGCTTCGGGACTGGAGGAACATACATTAATGCCGCCTCCAACAGTTTTACCGTCTCGCACTTGCGGAAGTTCCTTTCGACTTTTTACAGATGAAATCTGCATTGATGTAGGAGGAGGCCTCTGCACTACTGATGGGGAAGCAATCTTCCTCGGACAACTGGAACTGGTAGAAAGTGGGGGCTGTTTAAACTTGGGGCGAGCCTCTGAGTGAGTGGACAAACCAGAAGGCACAGCTGTTCTGGCCGGTGCACCGGGTTTGGCCATGATATGGACAGCGTTGTTTGCCTGAGCAGCCTTCAAGAGTGATGCAGCATCTGACTGGCTAGCAATACGAGCCCCTGCAGCAACTGCGGCTGCTCTTACAGGATCTGAAGTCAGATTCGGTTTAGCTGGTGGTGCTGCTGCTCCCTTATTTGCTGCTGAATCAATCAGAGAAAACCTTGTGACAGCAGGGGGCTTTTGGGGCGGCTGCTCCTGTTTTACTGCAACCGAACTTTCATTAGTGCTGCCCGGAGCCACGGCTTTGGCACTGCCAAAATTTGTCCCGCCACCTGTTTCAAGTTCCACAAATTATCCTTTAATGTAATCAACAGGTTAGGCTCAACAGAGTTTTGCCAGTGACTATTAGAACCTCTAAAGTACAATTTACCTGTGTTATTATTCATAAATGAGGGCCTAGTTTGTGGATCAAGAGCCATATTCATTGCATGACGAGCTGCCCGCTGCGCCTCAGATAGTAGGGAGTCACTGGAGTTGGTTAACTGATTCAAGTTGGAGCTGTTCTTCCTACGAATGACGCCCCATCTCTGCTTGGGGTAAACTAGTTCAATCAGGAAAGTGAAAACAAAAAAGGACTAATCTATGACAGCAGAGTAGGTAAAAAGTAAAATCAAGCTATATATCCATCCCCATGACTGGTTAAACTACCCTTTAGTATTAGAAGCATGATGCCAAGCACAAATTATTACCGTAAAAGCTAATAGTTATAGTGCCACAAACTGTCGAAACTTTACCATGAAAAGAACATGGATTTAAGTATCATTTCCGTCGCCGGGATTTGAACCCGGGAAAACTGGGTAAACCCCAGACATCCTGACCGGACTAGATGACAACGGATTGCTTTGTGAGGCACTGATAACCGTGTTGAAATTTTGAAGAAGCATAAGAAAATAATTAACAGTGGAACATGAATATTAATGCTTAAGAGATCAGTCGCATTGAAACTTAACAGAATATTGTGAAGTAAAGCATTAATTGCAGTATTCGTTAGGGCAATACCATTTATAACAAGAACCAGAAAGCTTCATCGTAACCCTGTTTTAACAAGTTCAGTGTTCATTTTAATACAACGCAGATACTTAACACACACCTACGTGAGGTGGTGAGTAACAAGCAGAATAAATTAGATGCAGTAAAAATAATAGCAACATCTACTGCTATGCGAAGGGAACGTAAGTGAAGTGCTCAGCAAGACTCAGGAATAAACTCATAATAGATTTCCGCCAGCTTCACCTCCACTTACAATGACCAATAACTATTTCATAGCTGAGCTTCACCTCCACTTACAACGCAGATACTTAACACACACCTTCACTCTCCTACTTAAGCCGTCAGGTCTACAATTACTAGGTAACCCACTGTCAAAAGCTATTTCCCAGGTATCAATCTATATAAATTTTTCAATTTTGTTTTCCTCATTATCTTACATCTTCCTCCATTTTTGTTATAACGTTTTAAACATATCCCTATATCACCCAAAGAAGTAGGAATTTCATCTAATATGAGCCGAACGCTTCCCAACCCTCCTTGGGTTCTAACCATGACCGATATTTCAAAGTACAAATAATTGGTTAAAGATTACCGAAAATGTTCTCATACACTTGCAAAGGGCACATCATAAGCATAACATAACTAAGGAATTCAAATAGGGGACTTATACTAACAAGAGAGAAAGACAAGAGACCGTGATACAAGCTGGAGATGAGAACAGAACATAAAGACAATTCAAGAAGTACCTGAGATAGTTGTGATGGAGTTCTATCCCCCTTGAACTCGCCTTTCACTATATTTGCCCAATTACCCTCCCCAAATTTCCGTACAGCAGCAATCAATTCCAGATCCTCTGACTCAGACCATGGTTTTCTTTTCCTTTTGGATTGATTGTTGCCAATTTGAGATCCATTGATATCTTCCAAACCAGCCACTAAAGGGGCAGGCTGCTTCTGAACAAAAACAGGAATGGTGATGTTCATCCCTCGCATTGCAGCAGGCTCTGAATTTTCTGATGTAGCACGAAATGAAAGGCTATTTGGTATGTTAATAGTCAAGGGAGCCTCAACAGTTCCCGCATTTGTTTGACTAGAATCAGTTGGTAAACCAGAAGCCATCAATACCTAAGACAAAAAAGAAATCAGATGATGGTAAGGGACGAGTTTACCGAGTTATGATGCATAAGACAAGGACATCAAGTGAAACGAACCAAATCCTGAACTGAGTCCACGGAATCCATCACTGAACGCATCATACAATTTTTTCACTAACCTTCACATATGCTGCTGCCTCAGCAGAAGCCTCACTACTTACTTCATGGTATGCTTCCAACTCATACTCCAAGTCACTATCATCATCCTGAAAACAGATGAACACAAGCATATGAAAAATAAGCTCGAAAAGAGAGAGAGAGAGAGAGAGAGAGAGAGAGAGAAGAAACTTAAATTCATTCAGAAGCAAAGAAAGCGGATACCTGAGGCTGAGCTCCATCGTCCAGTTTATCAGATAAGGAATGTCGATAAGCCAAGTGCCTCCATAGCATCTGGCACTCCCTAACGCTGGAAATCCCAGTTGAAGTCTTCTTCACAATCGCATTCCAATCAATCGTCGCTCCTTCAAGTTGGCCTACTTCTTGCAACAATGCCAACACTGTCGTCGCCGTATACCTAAAACAAAAACAAAACAAAAGAAAACCCATGTCAAAACCATCCATCAATCACCGGAAACGCCTAAGCCTCAAACTGAAATGAAAAGCATAAAGCTTTCAGAAAAACGAAAAAAAAACTATCACCTTTCCAAGACGATGGAGATATCCTCTTCACTGATTCGCCCCCTTTTATGGCTTCCGTTCTTCTTCGTCTTCTCAATCATGGCTAATATGTTTTTCCCGCTTAAACGGGGATTGCATACTCTTGGTATAAAAGAATCGATTGTAATCAAGAATCCCGGGATTGGCCCGCGGCCGGGAACGAAAGCAACACCAAGTAGCAAATTTCCCAAAAGGGTGGAAAAAAATCCCCAAATCACCCAAAACCCTAAAAGGGTTTTAGAAAATGAATAAACTCCAAAGAGTATAAAATGAACGAAACCCAGATACGGGAACAGAGGGCGGGAAGAGGGAAATTACAGAGAAGAGAAGAGAAGAATATTGAAGGAGAAGGAATCAGTAGCGGTGGAGACGATACGAGTACGACCTACCGTTGAAAAGCGTGGACGCACGCGCTTGGCAGAAGAAATTTCTTATTTTCGGTATTCGGTTTTCATGGTGGGAAAGGAACGAGAAGACACACTGAGAGGGAGTCGTTGAGGGGCTCGGCGGTGGCGGTGGCGGTGGCCTCGGCGGCGGTAGAGGTAAATCAAGGCGAGGTAGGTGTGTTAGTGTAGATGACAATAATAACCTTATCGGTGGCGGCGGCGATTTTCCGACGGCGTACTTCGGGTTTTGATTTGGTAGAGCGGGAGATTGAGTGGGGGACAGAGTTGTATTTGATTCGCGCTGTTCTCTGATTTTGACAGATTCCATCGAGATTTTCTTATTTATAATACTTGACGCCGTTTAATGGTATTCAAAATTTCAAATTCAAATTATCATTGATGTATAATTCTGAGAATCTATTACATTCCATGATACCCTCCATTTCTATATTTTAACCCATAGTTACTTCGTTTACGTCTACATCTACATCCTAAAACTAGGGTGGAAATTGGGGTGGGTGTAGTTACTCATCCCACATTTTGCGGCTAACCACATTCACAAATATAGAATCATACTATCCACAATCCGCCCTACAGTGGGTAGTGGTTAACCACTATTCACTGCGGGTTAATGCGGGTTGGATGTGGATACCCACAAAAAATTTCCTTCATTCACCCTTTGAACTCGTATATGATAAACTTATCGGTCGAGTGACGGCAAAAAAAACAGATTGAGTTAAAACTGAGTAAAGAAGCCCAAGACATGAAACGAGCGAAGATTCGATATTCGGAACCTCCTAAGTAGTCAACCTCCCTCTCCTCGATTCACTTCACTCGCTTACATGTCACTTCACTTTCTTTAGGAAATGCAGATTGATAACGAGTATGGATTGGAGGGGATCTAATCTTAATATACATAGCATCTTTATCAGCGACATGACTCCTTGCATTTTTAATCGATTTTTTTTTTTTGGATAAATGGAACTCTCTCCCGAGTTGCGGAATTAGCGTATTCTTACACAAAAACAAAAACCTACATAAAAGAAAGTTTGTAACATTCTACTGTTCACATACTTTAATATTACAAAGTATTAATAATAAATAAATATACTTAGTGTGGTTATTGTGGGTTTTGTCGGTTAATCGCTGTGGATAGTGGTTAACCACTAACCATAAAAATCAATATTTTACTACCCACACCCAACCCACTATCCACAAATTGTGGGTATGGTTACCTACAATGTATGCGGTTTGGTGCGGTTTGTGTATTACCCCCAATCCGCAAACCAAACTTTCACCCCTAACTAAAACCATGGTAGATGAAACCGTAACGGAGACTGTACCGGAAAAGTTAGCGGTAGGATATTTTATGGTAAAATCGAGATTTAACCGTAGTTCAACCGTTAGACCGTTACATACCACCTACCAATTTAGCTTTCAACACTAATATTTCGTGGTTAAACCGTCAGTACGGTACGATTTCATGCACCATAGCTAAAACATCAAAGAATTCATTTGTGTGAATTGAATATACTCTCATATTTGGTAAAAATTGTTTTTTTTTTTTTTTTGGAGTTAGTGGTGTGGGATTATGGCGAAAAATCAATATACCATCCATTGACCATTTATATACATACGGATCATTTATTCATCGAAAATTTATCTTTATCTCGTTCTAAATTTTTTATCTTTTCTTCTTCGCACAATCTCCACCCAACCCCTATGTCCTCTATTCTTCTTAGCGACAAGAAGTCATTTTCCTCATTCGAAGAAGTTGAGTTCGAAATTTAACTAGTTGTCTTCTTTGTCTTGTCGCAGTTCCATCTATCTACCCTTTCCTGCTTCTCGCAATAAGAACAACACATCAATCATATGGAGAGAATTCCTCCTTTGATGATATCCTCATTCCCCATCAATTATTTTTCTTTAATCTACAATATATAGATAGCTGGATTTTTTTTTCACCTCATTCAAATTTTCATGCAATGAGAGTGAAAGTAGGAAGGGTATTTTCGTTTTCACATTGATCTATTTGTTTCTCATTTATTCCTTAAAAAAGAAAGGCATACTAGGATTTGAATTGTTGTCATTTTCAACAATGACAAGAATCTTAACCAATCAAGCTACATATATTAGTTGTATCATTTTAAATAAAAAACATACATAAAGCTAACATTAAAAAATAACATAACTTTTCAACGGTTAGCTAAGGTCACTAAATCTTCGCTCGGTACTTATTGGTGTTTTTATACTTTGATTTTCATATTTTATTCTTTTAATAATATTTTGATACTTAATTTAAATTTCTATTTATCTTATAATTTTCTATCTATCTTATAAGGTCACTAAAGTTCTACTCATCATTGGTTCAATATTACATATCGAATTGCAATATCGAATTTGTAGAAGCGATGTTGAACTCTTACATTAGTATTACTTTATAGAACTACCGTGAGACAATCATATCCATATATTTCTGCAAACAATATGAGGATGGGTTCTTTGGATGTTTTAGCTAGGCTAACCGTTAACTTCTAAACATCTTCCTAATCTAACAGACATGATTGGATTCAACAATCATTAAACGAGGTTGAGTTTAATAAGTTGGTTTATTTCCTCTTTTTTATGTACTAAAATGAATTGTAGAGCAAGGACATGTCTACATATACACTCTACATAATATATACTACTGGCATGATAAAATTGTCGTCCCATTTCGAATTTCCTACAACGAGAGCAAAAGTATGAATTACATTTTTGTCTTTGCCATTATTTATCTTTATTTTGTATAGAAAATAGACAAGTGTTGGGATTTGAACTAATGTATCTTCAAACATAGACAACAAGAGTAATGACCATGATTGTCAATTCGAATATGACTCTGCTGGTCAAACCAATTCTACCTAAACCTGAGTATCTCAGCGGGTGCGAAGGCCCAGTTGGTTGTCTACTCGGGCTCGATCAAAGTCGAGTTTATCTATCTCAACGGGAAATCCGACCAAGTTAACCAAGTGTCGAGCACCGAGCCACTTCAAAATGATGTTGTTTTCAACAATTCATATATGTGGTTATGCTGTCATATCATCCTTTTACTTATCACAGAATCCCACAACATGAAGCATCACAGACCAGGTTCGACTATCCCATCATCTCTTCTTCTTGCTTTAGATTCGAGAGCCTACAATACAAGACCATACCATCTCAAAAGCCATCATAATCCCGCAATAGTAAATTTCATTTTTCTCCAGGTGCACAGTCATAGAGCCGGTCGACCTCATCTCATACAAATAAGAAGCAAAAATTATTAGAAAAACATGCATTTGAGTTAAAACTTTGTGTGACTAACAGATGCCAAATTCCTCATTTTAATTATTGTTTAATACTTAATTAAATTCTATATATATTATAAATAGAGGATAACTTTAAAATCGCGGCCCAAATATCACTGGTTTGAATATTCCATAGCGAATTGCAGTATTGAATATGTAAAAGTGATGTATAATTCTTAAATTAGATCTACTATGACACAATCGTATCCATATCTTCGTGTAAACTATATGAGACTGATTCTTTGAACATTTTAGTTCGCCTAACCGTCAAATTTTAAACTTCTTCCTATTTTGACATGATTAGATCCAACAATCATTAGGAGTTTAATAATTTGGTTCATTTCACCTTTTTAAATGTGCTAATGAATTTGTATGGAAATGATATGTCTTTATATAACACTCTACCCAATATATAATACTAAAATGAAAAAATTGTTGTCTCGTTTCAAATTTCCTACAACGAGAGTGAAAGTAATGATATTTTTGCTTCACAATTATTTTTCAGAAACTACAAACTTCAAAAACTCAGAAATTGTAGCTCAAATTAAAAAATCAGAGCATCGAAAATCAAAGTTGGCAAATTTTATTTCATATATCCCTTATTCGAGAGATTTTTCTTTCTATAAACAAGTTAAAATGAAACAAGTTATAGCCAAATCAACAACTTTGGCTTGAAGACGATGGCTTGCTTCTTCGTAGGAGAAAGGAATACATGCGGTGTCATCAAAGATCTGGAGAGCAAAGACGAAAATGGTACACCACAAGTTCTTAAATGGGGACTGTAAAATAGATTATCAAATCACGAGCTTGTGGTCAAATAAAAGGATAAGAGGTTAGTTAGATTACTGATGATATAGAATTTGCCAATTTGGTACATCTACAGTAGATCTCCAGCGTTGGCATAGGAAACAAAGAATCGAAGGGGAGGAAACGATGCATGGGGGGTGGATAAACGAATTGAGTGCATGCGGGTGGATAAACGATGCATTCATTTCTCTTTTCCTTTTAAAAAAATAAAACTAAAAACTTCAATAAAAAACAAAAAATAGTATCGTAAACTTTAGTGGGTTTCTATTCAACTTTTGAAGTATGTTCCCTTTTCGGGCTTAATCAGATTAATTAAAACTATTATCCTACTAAAATTATTTTATTTTTATTTTTCCGCTTGTAATATTTTGACTAAAAAATGTTAGTAAGTTAAATGATATATTAATTAAAATAATATAATATTCACGCTCTTTCAGCGCACTCAAATTATAATTCTCAAAGAATATACGCTCTTACGCTCTCGTTCTAGCTCCTGCTCTGCTAATTGGTAAGCTAATAAATTCGTCGAGTCAATTCTGTAGACAAAGAGACTACTATCAGAATTCGCCTTCCATCACATATTGCCTTCCCTTGCAAGCACCCCCATGCTCAATTCGCACTTGGCCATTCCTCATTAGTTTCACATCTGACACACACCAGCGTCATAGGAGTGCGACATTCGTCGCGTGATGAATACATGTTGTTGCAGTGCTTTTTAGGAGCTCGAAGGAGGATAGCGAAAAGTAGCAGATAGAGAAACAAATGTAGATAGTTCGGGCGAGGAAGAATATTATCCATATATAGATGAGATTTATATAATTTATAAATATATGAACAATATAATGACTTCTTCATATATCCGGGCAAAAGCGGACTAAAATGAATGAACCATTAACCCTCAACCCACTTAATCGACCGGGCCAACGGGCTAAACAGGGCTGACAACCTTTGATCTTTAAAGTCCATATATATTCTAAAAATTTTGGTGTTCCAATTTTTATTTTTGAGTCAAATCGATCAATAATTGTGGATTTTCAGAGAGTGGTTGAAATTCAAAAGTCGGTCTTCAAGTTTCTTTCGTGACAGACAAGTTTTTGCGGACTAAAATGGAATTACTACCAACATTTTAAATCATCTTCAACACTTTCTTATACAAAATGAAAATTTGCAGCCAATAGTTAATTACCTTCATAAGGATAGAGGCTACCAACTACATTATTCATGCATAGGATAACTTCTTAGCCTTCCAAGATTCTTTGTCAATTTATTTATTAACATTTAACATTCTCGATCATAAAAATTTCCAGATATAAGTGACAATCTCAGGTACCTAACAGGCAAAAGACCCTTATGCAAACCCTGTCATCTTTAATGCTATTGGTTTAAACTTCCTATCTTTTCTTCCAAAACAAATCTCACACTTTTCATGATTACATATTAGTTCTTAGTTCTTAGTTCTGACAACTTAAAAAATTTATCCAAGAGTAGCTTGACTTTAAGAATAGTTTGCTCTGAAAATCTTTAGTAAAGACTAGCAGGTCATCTACGAAACATGAGGTGAGTTAGCCCCAGATTCTTCCATTGTGGATGATAGGAAAGATCTCCAGAACAAGCAACAAGATTAAGCATGGTTGTGTTTACACCCAAATTAAACTTGTACCACATCGTCTAAATACAAGAAATTAAATGGCTTTATAAGGCTAACTTAATAATAACAGTTTAAATCAATTAAGTCGGTCACGTGAATTAGGATTTTGGGCTAATAACCTCATACCAGCATGCGCCACTCTAGTCATCTATTTCAAAATTTGACTAGAGGGTTCGCCAAAATCACACCCGACAATACAATTTCAATTTTTATCCTTTTATTTTTTCCTCTGCTAATTTAGCTATAGTTGTAGTTTTGGAGCTCTCACTAAACCTCCATAGAAGTAAATTAATGTAATTTAGTTTTGTCTCGTAGATCATCAAGAACATCGAACACCCTTGTTTAAACTTTGTTCAAAGAGGTGTGAACCGTATTGTTTAATCGTTTGTAAGAAGTCAAAGGTGCAAATTCAATTATGTTTCATCTAGTTTTCCCGACGGAAAAACAGGTTGACAAGCTTTCCATTTCAAGACCTAACTCCTCTCTAAGCAAAGAAGAACCCACAAAGTCTATCATTTACAGATACACTAAACCAAGCAGTTTCAACACATGCACTAATCCAAAAAGCAAATTTGTGCAAGAAATCCCATCACGACCATTGTAGAAACTAGGAACTACCTGTTAACTTGATAGAACATCTTGATGGAATGTTTGATCTATTGTAGCTGCATCACATTCACACAAGATATGGGTCGAAAATCTCTTAGCGATTCAGAAGTGGGTATCTTAGGAACTAAAGACACAACAATAATATTAATGGAAGAAAGCATGGTACATGTATGAAAGAAACTTTGCACCCAGGCTATGACATATTTACCAATTAGAGGCCACCGCTTCCTATAGAACCCAACTGTAAACTCATCAGGTCCAGGTGCACGATGAACATCTAAGGAAAAGACTGCATCCTTTATCTCGTTATCAGTAACTGTTGCAGAGAGATTCCTTTCCCCCCCTGCATTCGGTCCCTAATGTAGCAGCTTTTGTAATTGCAGCACCCTGCAGCATTCACATCTGAATTTTCAACCCTAAACGATTTCTTGTAAGAACTCGCCACTTTGCTCAAGATTTGATTTGTGCCAGTTACAATGCTGCCATCACCAGTTATATGCTTCCTTACTGATTGCTTGGAGTTTCTGATTCTCAATGACTGATGAAAAAATCTTGTACTGATGCATCTGTTTCAAGTTTCAACCCCTCCATTCTTCTCTACGGGAGGGCTTCTGGCAGCCCATTTGGTTTCTCGCAAGAACATGTGGACCTGTAGAGGTGCTTAACACCTCTTCCTTTCTGCTTGGTGTGCTTAGTTGTCTCAGATTGGATTGCTTCAGTCTTGACAAAGCTTCATCGAATTCGACCGACCTTTGTCCTTGGCCGTGTCATATGCATGGATGCTTTCCATGAAGCATGTCCTCAAATGCATGCGACATCTCAGTCTCCTTTCCTTTGCGACTCAATATGTATTTCAACTCATGTCTGGTATCCGAACGAGCCAAGTGCCAGCCAGATTTAGAAAGCTCCTACCTTTGGATTTTTGCTGTCTTGAGAAACAGAGATTCAATGATCATGAACCCGCATCAGAAAGCACATTGGCAAAGAAAAAAACCCAGCTGGCAAAAAGTTCCAATTTTGTCGCTTACAAACCCCCACATGCAGAAAGAAAAAGTCAGAAAGTGCAGACCAGGTAAACTGCCATCTAATGAAAAAGTTGACAAACCATCATGTGCAAGAACATGAACAATGCCCCCAAAATGTTCAGACAGCCTTTTCATTCAATTCAACCTTGTTACTTTACCCCACAAGGAAGAAGAATAAGTAGCAAAAAAACAGGAGATAAAAAGCAGCTACCTCACCCTTGAAAATCACCGAACCCACAAATAACAAACAAAACTTAAAGGGTCGTTTGGATGTGGAAATTTTAAAACGTTGGAATTTGTCTGAATTTCCATGTTTTACAAAACCAAGGAATTGACTTGTGGAAATTGAAAAAAAAATCACGTTTGGATAGGGTTTAGTTTTGTGGGAATTGATGGTGTGGAATTTGGAAAAAGAAGTAAGAAAACGTGGTAATGTCAAATTACTATAGGGAGGTGTAGTATTCTCAATTACCATGAATGTGGTAATTAAAGCCAATTTCCATGGTCCAATTCCCATACCATTTTTGCTCTCCCAAACGTGGGTTTTTAACTCAATTACTACATTATGTGGTAATTGGGTCCAATTACTGCATTACATTTCCACATCCAAACGACCCCGAAGTTCCTGCTTATTTACATCCGAAGTTCCTGCTTATTTACATGAAGCTAATTTTTCACGTTTTATTCTTGTTTACTACAACGATTTCATACAATAACATTCCTGTTGCGGAACACAAAAGGAGAAACGAACATAAACAGCCTATGTATTTTCGTCCATTCCCACATCGTTTTTCCTTGTAAGCTAGCTACATTTGCGCTGCTTTCTTTGTTTTGCAGTGTTATAACAACGAAACCTGTAATCCAGACTTAAGGGGGAAGAAACCCTGTAAAACTGTAGCGAAGCTAGACCAAGACAAGAAAGATGACATAATTTACACTCCTTTATGGAATTTTATGTCTGTCTTCTCCACAGGCTGAACATCAAAGAGGCTTTTTGCTCCGGTAGATGAATAAATCCAATGCTATACTTTTTGGGAGAAGTGCTGACCAAATAATCACAGAGACTGGCAAAAGATTAAGTAGTTCCATCACCATACATCTCTCAGATAACGCCCATCCATCTGCAACTTCTTAACCATAGACTCCGTCTTCGACGAATCCAACCCTCCCTGAGAAAAACGCACACACATACAGAGCTCATAGATTAGAAACAAAAAGCTCAGTATCAAGGTGGGGAAGGTTCACTCAGCCACTTGTTTGCCAAATACTTAATTGACTGCCCCAGTTACCAATGGAAGTAAACCAAGCAATCCAGATTGGATGTTCCATCAAACTATTAATCTATTTATCTTAGTATAGTGAAGCTAAAAAGGTATGATTCTGCCAGCGAAGATATGATTTGCCATAAGCAAGCATCCACTCAAAAAAGAAAATCAAAACAAGAACATGGTATGGTGAGTACCTGTTCCTGGACAATGTTGTGCAAAGAGCGATGAACATCTCTTGCCATCCCCTTGGCATCACCACAAACATAAAAGTAACCCCCCTGAGAAAGTATGCTCCATATTTCTGCAGCCTGCAAATTGCATTCCAGGGTTTGCACAAAAAAATTATTATGTATTCATTAAATTGACGGAAAAACTCTATCTGCCCGGGCCCCACTTACTTTATCTGCCATCTTATGTTGAACATACTCCTTCTGTGGACCCTCCCTTGAGAAGGCAACAATGAGTTCAGAGAGTGCTCCTTGTTCCAAGAATTTATTTAGCTCTTCCTCGTATATAAAATCCTACATACGAAGCAGTTTGGAATCAATGAGTTTCAAGACTAAATAACACTTAATAGAAAATGAATGGACAAGTGATCACCATCCGTCGATTTCTGCAACCAAAGAACAGCAAAGCAGTGCCAAGCTGACGGCCATCCTCTTTCAGAGCCATTCTTTCCTGGAAAAATAAGATGCAATATTGAATATTCAGGTTCTGCTTTACATAGAGCACACATATGTGTGTGTATAGCACATCAAACAAGGAGAAATTTCGACCTGCAAAAAACCCCGGAAAGGTGCCAATCCAGTACCCGGTCCCACCATGATAATCGGAGTAGATGGGTCAGCTGGTAACTTGAAATTGGAGGTCCTGATAAAAACAGGAGCCAAGCTACAATCTTGGCTTCTCTCAAGAGGAACAGCATGCTGTATAAAGAATGGCCATTACATAAATGTTGAATATAGCAAACCAGCTCTATGCCTCAAAGCAATGCATGTAAAGTAGAGCATAAGGTGGCATAACTGGCACATACCTTCATCCAGGTTGAACACACTCCCTTGTGGATTCTACCAGTTGGTGTCCGCTCATGCACTAAAGCACAGGTTACATGGACTCTATTGGGAGAAAATCTGCAGAGATATTAATGGACCCATGTTATAAATCTATAAACATTAGAGATTTGCAGTAGGAGAATACATTTAAGTAGCAGTTAACACCTAGGAGAAGATGAGATTGAATAGTAGCGAGGCTGCAGTCGAGGAGCCACTGCTGCAAAAAATACGCCAAGAGGAGGCTTTGCTGATGGGAACTCCGCCATTATCTCAAGGAGACTTCTTTGACTAGCAATAACCCATTGTGAGTATTCGTCCTGGAAGTGGAAGGTAGAAATTAACAAGAGTCCAAGCACAACACAAACATGGAAGAGCCACGATGGAAACAACAGTGATCAATAGTGTATTCACCTTCCCCTGTGGCGAAGATAAAAATCTAAGTCTCTCAGCCTCACTTGGTTCACTTGCATGAGCAGCCAACGCAACCAAAGCAGACTGATGACATACCACAATCAAAAGAAAATTACAGATCCACCACCACTTCATCTATATATAAGTGCGAAGGGGGTTTAAATATGATGAGAAACGTAACCTTTCGTGGAGAGTTCAAGAGGTCAGCGTAATGTGAAAGTGCCAAACGAAGAGTGCAAGGACCTGGGAAGGGAGGTGCCAATGAACCTCCTAGGGGTGTCCCATCTTCTTTGTCTGAATGAATAGAGAACAACAAATCTAAGGGTTGACCCAATAACTTCCCAGCTTCTTCAACAATGTCTTCACAATTCTCAGCATAAACACCCACATGATCTCCAGTTTCATATCTGAGAAACAGGTATATAACAAAGCCCAGTTTAGTAAGAGTAGCAAATATAATTTAACACTCTTATCAAGCATCAGAAAGAAAAACAGCGTAGGATGGTAATAACTAATAAGTCAATTATGAAAAAGGAAGCAGAAACAATCAAACAAATGCATAAAGCCTGTGCCAAATAAAGTCACTTTTACAACCCATAAAATGAAAAGGAAGGTTGGGTGAAGTACATTCTCTTTTAAGAATTTGATTCATCTAAAATCCCAACCAGGAATCTGTAAATGCAGAAAAGGTGTAGCTGTTGCTTTAGCCTAACCATTAGTATCATAAAATCTAATAACTTACGCAATAGGAGTGCCCGAAATGTCAAACTCCAAATGCATGCAAGACCTGTCGGACTCTGTTGAGTGGAGCTCTCTTTGTACAGCAACATTGACTCTATGAAAAGCACAGAGTATCATCGTTTTTAGTAGGAACAAACAAAAATACATGATTACCAACCAATTTTCTCATTGCCTGATACCTGCACGGATGGTGAATATCAAAAGAAGTATTGCCATTTGCCAAGTTCCCAAACTTGTCCTCATAAGATGTTAGAGGAGCATGAATAACTAAGCGGTATTCTTGTATAGCTGCCGTATATGGCGTAGATGCAGTATTGACATCATCTTCATCTCTGAGTAGCTGATCCAACTCTGACCATAGTAATTCTTTCCTGCAGGGGAACAAGAAGAAATACATTACAACTGTTATACCCACAATAAAAGACTGAGAAAGGTATACCCTCAAATTAAAAGCTCATGGTCCATATTCAAGTCAGGGACTACGGCAAACAATAAGCAAAGAATTTCTCGAGGATTAAAACTGAGCTTGTGTACCATGCTGTAAAATCATCCTCGATGCATTGATCATCGTCACCTAGGCCAACTGGAACGAGTTGCTTGCCACCTAAAGCAACGAAGTATTAGAAACAATCTATACCAAAACAACGAGACAGCTTAAAAAAGAATTAGACACGAGACTGACACTGTTGAAAGAAAATCATAGACTTGAATCTTCTCTCTTCCCAAGGCTAATCAGGATAGGATAGGTTACATACAGCCATGATAATACATACTGAATTTCAATGGCAAGATTGCAGAAACTGATGCAAATTCAATAAACATAATCTATTCCAGTTGACAAGTTCTAAAACAAAAAACAAATGAGATGCTGGACCTCATCTGATGTGTATGAAAAGATAGTTCTTCATAAAGGAAATCATATTAAAACACTGAGCCATACCTTGTTTACAAAGTTCTTCATCAAGGACAACTGCAATCTGTTTTACAGATACATCGTATCAGTTATCACTGACAAATAATTGCTCATTTTGAAAAAGAAAGAAGAGCTAGTGTAAATAACTAAATATTAAAGCTACAGAATGTCATCAAATCATGGGAATCCATTTACATATAAAGAATCATCATGCTAGATTTACCTTATTAAAATGTTCATATTGACGATTACCCAAGCCAAAGACACCAAAACTGAGCCGTGGAAGCCAAACACCTCTATCATTTTCCTGAAAACAAATTCAAGGTTCAGCAAAAAGACATAAGAGTCCAAATCCAATAACGCACCACTTCAGACTGTTCACCATAGCACTCAATGAAGTGACCAACCTCTGTGAACCACTTATAAAACCGTGCAGCATTATCTGTTGGTTCCCCATCACCATAACTACAATAAAAGGTTTAAAATAGTGAATTCCTTGTTCATACCAATAACCTTAAATAACCAGAAGTTGAAGTCTCTTACGTAGCCACCATAAAGAATGCCAAAGTCTCCTTTTTCAATTTTTCTTCATACTGATCATCATCCATAGCATAATCATCCTGATTCAAGAATACGGAGCTATATGTTATCAATTCCTTGATAACCAAAGATCTAGGACAATATGCACCTCCCTGCACAACTGAATTACACTCACCAAGTCAACAACTTTGACAGCCGCCTTTTCATATCTTGCCTTGATCTCATCAGCTAAAGCCTGCATTATAGTTCAATGAGAAAACAATCAGACACAAAATTCGCTGCAGTGAAGAATCATCAAAGCATCAAGGATAATAACAATTACATGCTGCAAGTAGAGAAGGACTGAAATTGTATTTCTTAGACATTGCACCAAACAAATACAGAAGAAACAATAACAAAACCCTTAGAATGGCAATTCAATCCATTTATATGAAAAAGTAACTAACAAATATCATGCCTAAGAAGTTTAATAATATTGCCAACTGCATGCACTCGCCCCACTAGATTCAAAACAAACCTAACATCAAACGAAACCCCTAAACTAACACGAATAGTAGTAAGAGGTTTAAGGTTCAATTGGCACTCCAGTTCACACGAGGCAGCCGAAAATGAAGGGACCAGGTCAGACCAGCAATTCGCAAACTGAACAGAAGACCATGTCCCCATGATAAGCTAGAGAATCGGGTAAGCATACCAACCCAAGAACTCAGCTTTCCCTCAACAGGCAAATAGCTCAATTCGAAGTCTTACTACTAACTTACTAAGCCCAAAACAGGTTTTAACTAATTTCCAGATAATCAGCAAGTCCAGGACTTTCCGACCAGTAGAGATCATCACCTCAAACACAATACAATGGCACATCCCAGACCAACATATTCCAATGACTTAATTGCCAATCCTCAATTGATAAAAATACAAGAAGACACTATGAAAGCAAAGTCAAATTCCTTGAGAAAAACCTTGATCTTCAACAAAACAAACAATTACCTTAGCGAACCCTTCCGCGGTTCCAGTCTGAGTACCGTAAAAGATGGTGAGCTTCGTTTTGCCGGCCAAGGCATCGGACTCGTCCTCTTCCTCTTTCAGTGAATACGGCTTCGTTATCACCACCGGCTTCACCTCTTTACTCCGATCCGATGATCTCTTCCATAGGAAGACTACCAACCCCACAATCACAGCGAGAGAAGTAGTGAGGACCAGAACCACAACGTCCGAGGAGGCGCCGCCGAGCGAGACTCCGATAGTCGACTCCAAGAACCGCACCAAATCCGGGGAGATGGAACTCATGGGTAAGATAAGGAAAACCAATCGAAGGATAGATGAATGAGGTCAGCTCGCACCCTGCTCAATCGGACCGTTACGTGCGCTCCGCCGGCCTGGTCCCCGTCTCGGCGAAGATTTAGGAAAACTAGGGGAGACTCAATTTCTGCGCTTCCTAAGTTCGCTCGGGCTATATCTCTGCTTTGCGCTGGATGTAATATAACCCTAGAGCATTGGAGATGGGGGTGGGTGAGCAGAAGGGAAGTTACAGAGACAGTTAGAGAGAGAGAGAGCGAGAGCTAGAGAGAGAAAATTGCGGGGAGAGTAGACGAAATACAGATGGAGTATTGCAAAAGGTAGGTCCCACTTAGACTGGGCGGAGGTTGTTCTTGTTCGGGTCGCCCACCTCGCCTCTTTACTATTTTCATATTTTTTAAAAAAAATAGGGGTTAATTACAACATTGGTCAGTGATATTACTAAAAACGATCATGTACTATAAATATTTAATTTCATTCGTAGTCATTAGAATTAATCAAACAGTTCAAGTATGGTCACTCTCCGTTACCTTCCGTTATCTTCCATCAACTTCCGTTAACGCCGTCAATATTTTGCTGACGTGGCTAACAGAAGTATCTAATAAGCTAATTTTAACTATAAAAAACAAAAAATAACCCGCCACATAAGATACCCAACCCATGACCCGGCCACTCTTCTTCCTCTAGTTGACCCAACGGGAAAAAAAAATCTCTATCTCCCAAATCAGATTGCAAGCATCGCAAACCCAAAATTCAGATCTTCCTCTAGCTTTCATTGCCACCTCTCAATCTCAGCCTTTCTCATCCACTACCTCAGCCTCCGCCTCCATTTGCACTCCTCAATTATGCGATAATCGAGGGATACAGACTTTGCCCTGCTCGTCGCGACGCTGCGGAGGTTTTCAATGGCAGATTTGCTTCCCTCTGCTTCTCCGGTGGTGACTCAGTGGAATCCGGTTGAGAGATTGGGAGGCGGTGAGATCTGAAGACGCTGTTGGGAGACTAAGATCTGACGACTTTGGCGAGGACGTGTGGTCGTTGTTGCTTTGCAGAAGCCTTCTCTACTTCTCGTCTCCAACCTGCATAAACATGGCTGGAAGAGGCCATCTATCAGCCGTCCCCACCGTCAAGCTCTTTCCAATCTCGAATACCTTCGCCGAGACTTTGCCCTGCCCGCAATCGACAACCCACCTTTTTCCAGTTCGAGAAGATGGACCTTCTGAGATCAATGGATTGTTCTTGGATCCGACCAAGATGAGCACAACCAGCATCGTGCCATTTGCACCCTCCTCTCGCCGAGATGTCGTTCCTAGATCCGGCCTGTAAAGTGATTGATTTCTAGGGATTTTAATTGTGTGATTTTCTGGGTTCCTGAAACAGCGTGTACATCTTCTACTCCTGCAACTTCTGGGGCTCCGAAATCGAGCTTATATCCTCTATAATGTATGCATCTCCCTCCTACATGCGTTATTGAAGAGAGATGGTAGTGGGTTTGTTGGTCTGGAGAGGTCGCGTGAGATGGTGGTGGGCACCAGTCGAGTTCTAGGTAACGGCGGAGCTGGTGGAGGAGAACGAGAGAATGGGTTTCATTAATTGGTGGGTTTATTTACGTAGGTTTGGGTGGTTTAGTTGATGGGTTTGATTTGAAGTTTGGGTCTTATGATTTGGCAAATTTAATGACATGGCAAATGATGTGGCAGACTGGAGTTTACTTTTTTGAATTAAAGTTTAGTGACTCGGCATCTTTGTTAGCCACGTCAGCAAAAAAACTGATCATGCATTGGCGGGAGAGTAGATAGACCATGATGGCGGAGCAGCAATGGCCTGGAGTGGCGGGAACAATTGCCGAATTCGGGCTGGTGACTCAATCTGAAAGATCCCCTATGTCGATGGCAACAGTAGGAAGTCCGGTTAGAGGGTGTGACAGAGACCAAAGTAGCCAGATCTCGCTTCGGGCGTCTCCGATTCGGGTATCCAAATATCATCCCTGACAATTTGGGAATGAATAGATTAAAAGCCCCCTCCCCCTCTCAATTTCTTTCTTATTTTGAATAGGTTCTCCCTAATTCAGAAGACGGGTGAAAAAAGCAGAGATGAGAATTAGGTCGGATTGGTTTTGTTTAATTTTTTATTTTATTAAAATAATAATTATATAAAATAATAAATATACATGTGGCATAGTCAAATGGTTGACTCTTTGCCATGTCATCAATTGACATCCAACTCAACAATAGAACTGCCACGTCAAAGTCAACTAAAAGTTGATTGGACGAAAAGTTAATGGTTTGACTATTAAATTATTTTCGAAAAGGTTTGGCTATTATTTTGTTTAAAATGAAAGGTTTGGCTATTATATTGTATTTACCCATATTTGAATAGTAATAGTGTAGGAAGAGGTATGGATATTGTTTCCAATTTGTCTAGCCTCGTTCTGCCTCGTTCTTAACTTGTTCTATTATGATTTGTATAAGTTGCAATTTTGGTCACTTAGATTATTAAAAAAAAATCAAATTTGCCACTAAAATTTTTTTATTTCATTCATGGCTACTGAAATAAGTTCAACAGTTCAAGTTTCAAATTTGATCACTGACCGTTATCTTCCCTCAGTCTCCATTAACACTGTCAATTTTTCGCTAACGTGGCTAACATAAGTGTCTAACCAAAAAAAATTTACGTGAAAAAATTAAAATCTGACTCGCCACATCATATACCAACCCAATTCAACATATGACTCACCCAACGCAGGACCCACCTCTAGAAAAAAAACACTGCCACCTCCACCTGCCGAGACCCCTCGATTGCTCCCGCTGTCGGGGACGCCGATGACGACGGTGATGATGCTTTCCTTTCTTCTAGCTTCGTCGAATCCCAAATTCCAAATTAGACAGCGCCAATGGGGATGAAACAAGGGTGCATAGGAGTGATAGCCGCCATAGAAGTCGGGGTCGCAAAGGCGAAAGAGCTTGATGAAAATTTTGAGTAAGCCTCCGCCATCAGAGTGAACCTTAGGATTTCAAAGTCACGAACGCAGCACTGCAGAGATGAAGAAGAATTCTAGGGTTTCCCATAGCAAACCATTGAATTAGCCGATTAGAAAAGCATTCGAACAAAGAGAACATTAGAATTTGTGAACAAAATCGAGTGCAGATCGAACAGAGAGTGAAGATCAATCGTCGGTGAAGCCGAACGAATCATAGAAAGAGAATATGAGGTGGGCTATGGTGGAGAATGATGGAGCTTTGGAGGACGTCAACTTTGGCGCCTACCTTGGTGGCCTTCTTGCGGATGTCGGTGGCAGAGACGTCATCATCACGAAGTTGATCCTCTTGGAGAATCGGGTAGGTGAAGTTTAGCTTGTCCTTCTAGAGAATCAGATTGTAGAAAGAGAAGACAAAAGGAGGCAAGGAGGAAAATGATTGAGACCCTCAATCTCCGCCTCAATCTCCCAATCTCGTGTCTTCTCTCTCGACCCTCTCCACTTTTTACTCCAACAACACTTCTCGGGCTTGTCGGAACCTTACATCAACCATCGAGAAGCGCTCTCTTCAGATCAACCTCAATTTCCTTAAGGCTTCCAAATTCGCACAGAATATCATATCCATGTGTGCTCTGTTTGCCATTCTCATTTTCATGTTTTTGTTTCGATTTTTAGAATTCAGGCTTTGGATCAAATGGAGTAGGATTTTGATGCTCTGATTAAACGATTTGTTGGAGACTGATGGCAGATGGGATTTAGCGGTTGATTCAGTGGTTGGAGGTAGTTTTTTTCGGGTCGGGTCAAATAAAGGAAGGGTTGGGTCATGGGTTGGTTTGGTGTGGGTCAAAAAGCCCATACGAGTATGAGGTTCAAGAATCTTAGGGTTTTCAACAAATCTCTCCTAGCTAAGAAACTTTGGAACTTGTATCTAAGGGTCTCTTGCGGCTTGGCTAATCAAAGCAAGATACCACCCTAAGTGCTCCTTTTTGGAGGATAAAGTTGGATATAGACCTAGCTTCATTTGGAGAAACCAAAAGAGGAAAAGAACGTAGAGATCAGAGGGAGGAACTAGAAGAGGACAAGGGGATGTGAAGATCCCAAGCCCTAAGATGTAGGGGAAAACCAAACAAGAGCTGAGAAGAGCTCTCATAGAGATAGAGAGAGTATTAGATACATTCTTATTTTATGGAGTTAGTAATTTAGGGTAAATTGCAAGGTGGGTCACTAAAATTATTAAACACGTTTATGTTGGGTCACTAAAAATATTTAATCCCATTGGTGGTCACTAGGTTTAGTAAAACATGTCAAATTTGGTCACTCTCCATCCAATTTCGTTAACTTTGTTTGATGTGACAGCCAACTCGTATAGTTGATCGTTAAATATGTGACATGGCTATTGAAAATAATAAAATTTAATCTTTTAAATTTCCAACTCAATTTCACTACAACTAGAGAAAAAATTCAATTTCCCAGACTCCACTAAATAGTAGATACCCAAATCATCTCCTACTTCCGCCTCTTTGCCCACTGAAATTGATAGCCATTTCGGGTGGTGGCGGTCTTCAATTGCGACGAGGACGTCTTCATGGTGGACGCGGTGCGGGCGACCGTCCAGCCAAGATGATTAAATCCCCGGACGTGACCCGAACCTGTTAAGAACGGAACAACAAAAGGAACGAGGTTATCGAATCTGGAGCTGAGTCGCGGACTAGGTCGCTCTCTTTAAGACGTTCGCGGCACTGCCTTCGATGCGCACGACAGACTATCAACCGGTCGTCTCCAGGATAAAACAGCTCCTCTCAATACTCGCGGTTTTGTGCGAAAATCGAAGCTTTCTAAACACTCTCTCTATTGTGTTTCTGCTCGTTGTGATGTGTTTAGAGGGGCTGGGGAGGCGGCTATTTATAGGAGCCGAACCCCTAGGAATATACCCTCTTGCTTGGGGAATAAGTCGGATTAATTAAGGAAGATAATTACTTCCTCGTCGGTTAAGATAAACCCGGAGGGATTATCCTTCGAATATTCCGTTTTAGTCGATTATCCTTAGAATATTCCTCAGAATAACCGATTAATAATTAATTATTAGATAATTAATTTTGTTCGGAATTTCTCCAAAAATATATATATAGTCTCAAGTGAACCAACCAACCGACCGGTCGGTCGGACGGACGGCGCGCGCGCGCGCGTGTGTGTGGTGGTCCATTAGGTCCTTCCTCTCCCACAAAAGTGGGTCACCCCAAGGGGCATGCCCTTAGGAGAGAGGCTCCTATCTTTATACACATTTCACCAAGTAAAACTACCAATGTGGTAGTTTTTCCACTAGAGACTCTATAGCTTTCAAAGCTATTCATATACATTTCCAACAATCCCCCACTTGAATAGTTTTGAAACTATCTCTGAGCATCAACAGTTTCATAAGATCGGGCATAAGCTAAGGTATCGCGAAGATTTGAACCTTAGCGTAGTGGTTACACTTCCTATTTCATAAGGGTGACTCGTAGTCTTGAACCCTATCTCAGACAGTGCAGCACACCGGATCTTTTAATTGAATTGTGTTCTCCTCATAGCCCGTGCGTTTATGGCCATGCACGTTACCCTGGTTTAGTGAACGCTCTGGCAACTTTGTGCCTCCAAAGTTCCATAGGGAGCGGCCCCACTCCCACATTCACATAGGTGAGTCTATCAAGAGTACCCCCCAAAGTAAAGTACTCCACCCCACATAGGGTATAGATCTCATTAAGAGTTATTAACTCAACCTCCATTGCTTTGGGATTCATGCTTCACTATGCATGAACTTTTCGCATACTACTCATGACTTGTTATTACCCATTGAACCCATTTCTTGGGATCTCTAGTCTATTGGGTCGGGTTACCATCACTTGTAGTCCGTGGTTCGGTAGGCATAAGTCCCATACCCTTGGCGGTATTTTGGACTTTCTCTCTAGATAATCCTTTCGTCAAAGGATCAGCTAGATTCTGTTCGGATCTTATATGATCCACCCTCACTGCTCCTATCGTTAGGAGTTCTCTTACAGTACTGTGCTTACGGCGAATCTGTCGTTTCTTTCCGTTATAGAACCGGTTCTCAACTTTAGCGATAGCTGCGGTACTATCACAATGGATCAATACCGGAGGGACCAGCCTTTCCCATAGGGGAATCCCTGACAACAATCCTCTCAACCAACTTGCTTCTTCACTAGCCGTTGCTACTGCTATCATCTCTGATTCCATAGTTGATTGAGCTAGGATTGTTTGTTTCTTTGACTTCCAAGACACAGCTCCACCAGCGATGTTGAAAACATACCCGCTGGTTGCCTTGGAGTCATCTGATAGGGTATTCCAATCCGCATCACTATACCCTTCTAGTACAGCAGGAAACCTTTGATAGTGTATACCAAGGTTTGCTGTTCTCTTGAGGTATCTCATGACCCTCTCTATAGCATTCCAATGCTCTCTACTAGGACAGCTGTTAAACCTGCCAAGCAATCCCACGACATATGCAATGTCTGGTCGAGTGTAATCCGCAGCATAACGGAGACTGCCAATGATGCTAGCATATTCTGATTGTCTTAAATTGTCTCCAGTGTTCTTAAATAGCTTTACACTAGCATCATACGGAGTACACGCAGGTTTACAGTCGAAATAGTTATATTTCTTCAAGATCTTCTCTATGTAGCTAGATTGATCTAGAGAATAACCATTTGCTGTTCTAGTTATCTGGATTCCAAGCATAAACTTTGCTTCTCCCAGATCTTTCACTTCA